GTAGAAAATCTATATATATCCTCGTATTTTTATAGTATAAAACTAGCTAGGTTTACATCTACTTTTATTTTTATAGTTGTGTGATTATATAATTTTACTTTCTATAAAAATATAATATTTTTATAGTTGTGTGATTATATAATTTTATATTTTATTTATTATTAACATGTAATATAATTACTAACAAAAACAATTCATATATATTAATAACTGATCATATGTCAATCACTTAGTTACATAATAAGATATTAATATTAAAGTTTGATAATAAATTTTTACTTATGTAATCCTAACATACATATTAATATTTTTCATTAAAAATGGAATAGTATGTTAATGAAAAATTAAAATTATTTAATTTAAAAATTTGAAAATTTAAATTTATAATAAAACTGTAAGATTAAGAGCGGATTAAAGCATATAGTATATTTGTAATAACTGTACTAACAGATCAATTTCTATTGACAAGGGGTAACCAAAAGTCCAAAAGATTAATAAATCTATTTTATTTTTATAGAATATGTTCACTGTCTTGCAAAGAGTGGCCTTTCTAATTAGAATATATTGACATATAAATGTTAATTTAGCTGTAAACTCAAACAATAACGATAATATAATTTCTGCACACAACATATATTAGCCTTAATATTTATAGAATATTCTTTAATAAAATAATTAGTAATTTTCTTCCCACAATAATGTTGATAACTAAATTGTTAACGTTTCATCATATAAATATTTGAAGTGAAATAATAACTATATGAAATCGTATAATGACAATTATCATGTTAGTAACGAGATGAAAGAAAAAAAGATGCACAACTATATTAAGTTAGTATGATGGTGAGAGGGTATTAGTTCCACTTTAAATATTTCTGCAGACAGCTTAAAAAATCAAGAATTTATGAGATAAAATGACAACTTCTATAACCAAACATAAATTATATGTTACATAAGCTCGTCGCTTTAAAGTTTTATAATTATATATATATATATATATATATATATATATAATAATTAAATATATATTTATATTATTTTTTTATCTTTTTATATTTATTTATTATTTATTAATAATATATTATTTAACTTTTAAAAATCAATATTCAATATTCACGATGAGATGAATACTGTTAAGATATGAAAAATGAAGCTATTATATAAATATAAAATATTTTATAGTTTTTTTTTCCTTATGAATAATGATAAGAATCAATGAAAAATGATGACATTTAAAAATATTGATTAACTCTAGTCAATAAATATTAACAAAGACGTAAATATTAATTAAAATGATTAAACTTAAAATGTCATTGATGACTTTTTAAATTTGTTGTCAAATCTCATGTTGAACAATTTACATTATGAGAGGTAAATGAATTTTTGATATAATGATAAAATGCGTGTAAAGATTAAAAAAAAACCCAACAACGAAAATATTTTACCGGGTTAACACTGATATTGAAAGAAGAGTATGAGATTTGATATAAAAGAATTATTTTAATTTCAAAAATTTCATTACTTTTTTATATTGAATATTTTATTAATTTAATAAAAAAATTAATGTAAAAAAAATATTTTACATGTGAGTAGCACATGAAAAATGGGTCAGTTATGAAGACTTGTTTCGGATGTAAACAAGTCTTATTCTGACTTAATAATTCTTATCAATATAAGATTGGATGGTTTTATATGATGTAAACAAAATTACTTTTGATAATTAATTTATTATATATATAAATATGGGTATTATAAGTCTCTTGTTTGAAATACAAACATATTTACAAGAATATAAGTAATTTACTATAAAATAATTTTTATAGTGGTTATAAAAAATTACTTTATTATATTTTTTAATATTTTAAGAAAAAGGGAAAAAAATATAATAATTTTGTAATGATCATTGGACTTTCTAAATTTATTAATTATTGATTCAATTAACATATCAACATTTGAATAATATGTACATTTTGATCCATTTTCTATATTGACGCTCAAATAAAATATTCAAGCTGCTATGAAATGTAGAAAGGTAGCTCTATTTTATTTGCACACGAATAATTACTTATTTCCTAAACATTAAAATTAGATTATGTGGTAATTAATTTATAAAGGTTATTTTATTATTTTTTTATATCTTAAAAGTTTTTATGGAGAATTTTCTTCAGATATGGGATACATCAATTTTAAAGAATATAATGTTTTAACTTAATTATAAATTTCAATCTCTAAATTCAAATAGTCGAAAGCTTACTATGGATCACACAAATGAAAAAAAGAAAAGAAAAGAGAGAGAAAATTATCAGTTAATTTTTTTTCTAAAAATTAAAAATAAATATTCATACTCCAATAAAAACATATTTTAAGATTTAATGTTTAGTTTTCATACATTTGTTAGTACAACTTTATTAATGCTAGCAGCTAATATTCAAATTTAAATTATATTTTAAATTAATTATTATAAAAAATACTGTTTTTAATCATATATGCAACAATTTAATATTGTTAACACATTAAATTTAACTTATTTGTAGTATCTTAATGAATTAACTTTTTATTTTTGGTATATGTACATATAAAAAATCATGTAAAGCAAAAATGTTAGATTCTATATTATGTAATTTTTTTAAAACCAAAATTTTAATATGCAAATATACTATTTTGAGATTGACTTCCGTTATGTTGAATTGACTTGATAATCTGAGTCAAACTTACTAAATTGATGATTCTCTTTTCATCAGTTCAAATTGAAATCAAAATTACCATATTTATCTTTCTTTTTTTAACCTGAATCAATTATTTATTTTAATGCTTATATTAATATATCTTAGACTTTAAAACTTAACTTTTTTTTGCACTTTTGTCTTGTCTTTCTTTTTCAGTAATTTTAATTTTCTTATAATCTTATGTAGTAGTGTTATAATTAGGTCGTATATATTTATATCATTGTTTTTTATATTTTAGATAATTAAAGTAATGATAGTGTATATATATTATCAAAACTTAAAAAATGTGTGACAAATATCTTTCATAGCACTGTGACATAAATAAAACTCTATGGTATTAATTGGATTGGTTTTGGTTTAAATTTATAATATTTTTTTATACATCACAATAACAGACAGATTTGGTTTTACATGAAGTACCCCTAATTTGGTTGGAAAGATGAGAGAGATAAGAAAGTTGTAGAAAGGGGAAATGATAAAGGGACAAGTGAGTTAATACAAGAGACAGAAATATATGGAGGAAATGAAGTAGAAGATGATAAGAAAAATAAGTGTATATGATAAGATTTTCCCATTTTAAGCTCATCCTCATCTATCTCGGTATGCTTTGCCATGGACACAATTCTCTACCAACCGTGAGACAATGTTTATAGGAAGCCAACATTCTCCCTGCTCAGGATATAACATCATGGGACAACGATGAGTGGTATGAGAGTGTCATTTCGAGTAAATATTTGTTTATTATATACTCTACTAAGTCACTCATTCTATGTTCTTCTAAGAAATTGAAATTGATGGCAAAGAAAACATATTTTTTTACAGATGCTCGAAGATGAGTTTCAAGATGTAAGCATCGACTTTCCAAATTCAGGGTCATTCTATGAAACCTTTCATGGACATGGAAAGTATATGTAGAAAGAGGCAGAGAGGGAGAGAGACTAACCACTGTGGCCCAATGAAAATTTAAAACATAATAAACTCAACACGTAGTGATTTCAAAACTTTTTTAGAAGCAGACACATTCATGCGCACTTACATAGTTATGCATGTATGATCCGAACCTTAACGACAAACTGGGATATCCTTCCGACAGAACAATCTGGTAAGCTGAGTGTATGATTAATCTATTTTTCTATCTACATTATGTACTTTTTATTTTTATTATTTGAAAGACAAGATTTGTATATAACCTTCATTTCTACTTGTAGAAAATATCTGTGAATATACTTATGGAGATTTTTGAAGGGTATTTTTAAAGAGACAATACGTATATATAGACAATCTAATAATAAAGAGTCAAACAAAAAGGAAACGTCCAAGGTCATTTTCGTGTAATCTCTCCTCACATTCACAAATGGATTCATTCATTTAGTACACATTCTAAGCACACATGTGTCCATCACTGAACAAACCAACGTTTGTGTGGATGCTGAGAGAGACAAACAGATAAAACAATTAAGTTTTCTCTACCTTGTTTCTAATGTGACACAATTTTTATGGACCACACTACCGTACAATTGTCTTAAGGGGAAGGGTTCTGTTTTATTAATTAAAACACATATTCGTTTAAAATAAATAACTGAATTGAAGTACGTTTCAGGTTCTACGTTAGTTTGTATGAATCACATGCAACGTATGCATATATGAAGCTCGCATGGCCATGGGGAGCAAAGACATCTAGCATAATCAGAAATAGGCCCGAAATCAGCATAAAGTGCCTACCTGAGAACTATTTAATTAGGAAACTGCAATAACAGTGTTTTGAATGATAAGAGAGAGAGAAAGAGACAGTGAAAAAGAGACAATGGAGAGAGAGAGAGGGTATCCTTTCTAGACTAATTATTGTTCTTTGCAGTCTTTAGCTACTATATTACTCTACGCAAACAATTTCTCAATCCACCATGGAACCTTAGGGTTTTTTTTTTATGCTTCTAGGGTTTGTGGTATGTATAGTTGTATATTCCATAGTATTTCCATAGCTACCATTTTTTTATAAAAAAAGCTTTGAATTTCCCAATTGTTTGTCGAGTATATCACTTATTTATATATATATATATATATATATATATATATATATATATATATATATATATATATATATATATATGTATAGTGATGCCCTTTGTTAATTTACCTACCGACCCACAAATAATCACTGTGTGTCCTATCTACACACACAAGTGGTTTGTCGCATATAAATTGAAACATAACATAAATCAAGAAACTAATTAATCATTGGTATTATATGGTACGAGAAAATTACCATGATGAATCTCAAGTGGCCAATTGCTTGAAGGACTTTGGAGGCTCATGATGAGGGCCCTTAAGTTGGTTCTTCTTCTTCTTTTTCTTGGTGTAAGGGATCCCTCTTGCCTTCGCTTGACACTCCTTGACCTCACGAAGGTACACGCGAATAGCTCCGCTTCCAAAGGGATTAGTCTCCGGGGAGCCTCCGTGCTCCTCGTAGGCAGCCCGAAGCCGGCCGATGAGCGCATCGAGACTCCCCCAAGCCTGTCTGAGAGGACAGGTGCATGGCGCCGGAGGATCGGGCTGCCCGAAGAAGATGCAACCGTGGAGGTGGACCTTGGTTTTTCCGAATTGGTCCAGGTAGCGAAGGAACTCGAGCACGTGGTTGAAGTTGCACTGGGAAAGCGAAACTGGGGGTGTCTGGTTCTTCAGGTACTGTCCGAAGGTGTTCCAGTCTCGCCGCTTCTGTGATTCGTAGCGGCTCAGAGGGGCCTGCGGCGGCTGCTGCTGGCGCTGATCAGAGGCCGCCGCGGTAGCCCTTGACGATGAGGCTGAATCGTTGTGCATTTCGCCGGACATGGTGGGTGAAAATTGGAATAGGTAGCGGTGGAAGGAGAAATATGAGACAGGAGGTGGAAGGAGAGGTGAAAGAAAAGAATGTGTTAGTGCAGTGGAGAAAGATGAAAATCACATCTTGGGGTCTTTTGAGAGGACATGTTATGGGCCCTCTTTGAAGGTGCTTTTGTTCCCCTTTTCCTACCCCTTCTCTCTCTCATATTTGTATTTCCACTTTTTACCTATTTGCACTAACTTTTATATATATATATATATATATATATATATATATATATATATATATATATATATTGTTTTTTTTTTCATGTTAAAAAAATAAACTACATATCATCATGATATATCATTAATCATAATATGATATTTTTTTCGTAATTTTTTTAAACCCATTGGTTCATATATTCATGAAATTATTATTGTTGTTAACCGACACACAACGATGAGATCCAACATGTACCACAACGTATGTGAGTGCATAATATGATCATTGATAATGATTTTGTAGCATGCATAATGAGGTGGAATATGGTATCACTAATTAAAACCCTGGCTAATTATTTTTTTTTTTCTAATTCAAAGAAACCAATTAGAATTAGCCTGTTACCGTGTAGTCGGTGCTTTGGTGCTTATAGTCCAAGTATGTCTGATTTGATTCAGTCCACTAGTAATCAACTTGGTTATCCATAATCATAAGTGCTTTGTGAGCTAACAAGATTAGTTGGTGGATTATTTTTTCTGAGATTCTGCTCTGTTCTTTTTATTTGTTCATATTGCCTTATGCAAAGGTTATTATGACTCATCTCAATGTGTGTGTGTGTAGGGGCAGGGATTTAATTAGGTATGTATGGGTGAAGTGTTTAAATTAATTGGTTTAGAATTTCTTTCGCTTCACACAATAATTGCAAATGTGCTTCTTTGAAAAATTCTTAGATCTTCTGTGCTGCACTTCAAAAGCCTTGTGTCACAAACTATTTCGTATCATTTTTAATAGATGAAATCATAGAGCTAATTATTGTGAAATTTTAGCCTAAGCGAAAGCCAAGCTTTCAGGTTAATTAATTGTTTTCAAAGTGGAACTCAAAAACATTATAGTTGCCTCATAAATTTTCATTGACTTTTAGCATATGTAGTTTTCGATGACTGCATTCTGAGTCTCATCCAAAGTTTAGGGATATTGGCAAAAAATTATGTTTATGACTTCATCTTATGATAATCTACTATACTTTTCATTTTTTTTTCTTTTATTTTTGAGTAACATTATTTGTGGAAGTTTTATGTACATATAATCCTTACATTTTTCAATAGATAATATGACTAATTCATCTAACATATTTTAGTAATTGAAAACAAGATTTTAAGCTAACTTAATTAAAAAAAAAATAAAAACTTTAGGCAATAGCAACACGGATGTATTCTGCTGAAAAATAATTTAATCTTTTTATACACTTTAATACTTTTAATAAAATATTAATTTGTTTTTGTTCGTGCTTCTGACACTGGGGTACCTTAGTTAGCACTTCTTTTAATATTTTCAATTTTTGTTAAAGAAAAAAAAATCCACACCAAATGAAGAAAATGAAAAACTACTTTAAGTTCCTATACTTCATCACATTTATGACTCGTTTATTCACTTCAAATGTTTACTTCAATTCTATCCGGCATGAATTCAAGGATGATAAGATAGGGTAAATAGGTCATCAGATGGGTTAAATTCGACATTTTTTTTATATTGGTCAAAATAAATCTGGTACATCATGAATTAATCAGGTTCAAAGTGGTCGACTCACCGTTCATAATACATTTCAAATTTTAAAAATAATTAATAATTTCATTTCATTTATTTATGTTATTTTTTCTAATTTTGTTTATTTATATTATTTTAAATTAATAAAATTATATTTAATTAAGTTTGTTGTACTTGTGTATTATTTTTATTGTGTCTTAATTTTTTATTGCGTCTGTTGTGTTCACTATATCACATATATTACATCCAACATATTTATTACACTCATTGCATTCATATTTATATGATAGATATTAGTCAATTTAACCTATTAATTCGTAATGAGTTCAACCTTGTAAAATTTTTGTTCAATATGAAGTGAGTTAGATTAAACTTGTTTATTCTTAAAAAATCAACTCGTGTGAAATAGATTGACTAATTTTAACACCTAAAAAAATTATAAATATATATAAAATCTAATTGTAGGTGAAAATTTGTGAAACAGATTGACTTATTTCGACACCTAAAACAAATTATAAATATATATAAAACCTAATTTTAGATGGAAATTTAATATATTGAGATAAGAAATAAAAAAAGGAAAATATAATAAAAATGTTGTTGGATATAATTTATAACTTAACAACGTTTCCTATAATAAATAAAACAATTTCATTAAATACTTGTACGAAGTCCTTCAACTTAATGTCACATTGTCTCAAGCTAACTAAGGGAATTACACTAATTTGAAAATATCATTTTTCACAAATTATACTGATCAAAACAATAACTTTACCAAAGTATTTGTATGTCAACCTTTCTTTTTAACCAAACTCCTCCAATGAGGAAAATGAAACTTCAAATTCTAGTTCATTCAAGGAATCAACCCCAACCCTCAACTAACTATAAATTGTCATCTATACTTGAAAGGAAAGATGACTACCCAAAAACAAGTGCGAAGTGGATTTTGAATGAATGTTGCAAAGTGAACGTGAAAAATGAACTTGAGAAGAAAATGCAATACTATAGGAAAAAAATAAGTTTGGTAGGAAATTTGACAAGCATAACTTATCAATGTTTGAGTAAACTCTAAAAAAGTTGTACAAGAAGGTCTCCATCATCAAACACTCACATTAGTTAAAGAAATCCTCGTAAACTTAAAAAATTGGCTTACACAGAATAAAAGTACGTGATTTAAAAATGACAAACTAAACATATACCTTTTACAGATATAAATATTGTTCAAAATATTTAAAGTTAGACATCATATTCATCTTCCTAGAGAAAGAAATTTCTTCATAGATATTTCACCTCTAACAACTTGATAAACATAGAATATACGATTACAAATACCGTATCATGCCATGATTCTACCTGATTAATTTTTTCCATATTTAGCTTGGCATGACAGCGATGCACAGTGATGCACATTAATGTCATATCTGTTAATAGACAAATTTAGGATACCTACTATAATGGTTAGCGTAATTATAGCCTAGAATGTTTCTGTATTTCATGTATATATTGTGCTTATCATATTCAATACAAGAGAGGGTTTTTGGAAATATTTTTATCATGGTATCGAAGCGAACCAAACTCGATATCCAACGGCCCGAGAACACAGTCGTACTTCTAAAATGGCAGAGAGAGGAGAGACGGTGAAGAAAACACCATCGCCATACGATCTGAGTGTCAGTGATAATCCTGGAAATGTGATTACACGAGTACAATTACGAGGAGAGAATTACGAGGAATGAGCAAGGGCCGTGAAGATATCTCTGCGGGCTCGAAGGAAATGGGGTTTCATAGATGGAACTCATAAGGAACCCGAAGAAGACACATCTGAGATAGAAGATTGGTGGACAATTCAATCGATGCTTGTATCTTGGATACTAAACACTATAGAACCTAGTTTGCGTTCCACTTGTTGCATACATGGAAAACGCAAAGGACCTATGGGATGACATCAAGGAACGATTCTCGATCGTGAACGGACCAAGAATCCAGCGACTAAAGTCGAGTTGGCGGAATGCAAACAACAAGGAATGACTATGGTTTCCTATTATGGGAAGTTGAAAACGTTGTGGGATGAACTGGCAAATTACGAGCAAATCCCACGGTGTAGATGTGGGGGATGCAAGTGTAATATTATGACGCAACTTGAGAAACGAAGAGAAGAAGAAAAAATTCATCAGTTCTTGATGGGGCTAGATGATGAGGGCTATGGAACTGCACGGTCAAATGTTTTGGCAATGAGATCCATTACCCTCGTTGAATCAGGTGTATGGCACCATGGTGCAAGAAGAAAGGGTGAGAACAATCACCAGGTCTAAAGAAGAGCGAGGAATGATCGTGGGAATGGCTATGCGAGCGGAAACCGAGGAACAAGTTGCGCAATGAAGCGAAAGAAAAATCGGTTATTTGCATGCAGTGTGGAAGGAAGGGACATGACAAAGGCAATTGCTTCAAGATCATTGGTTACCCAGAATGGTGGGGAGAGAGACCACGAACCGATAAAAACGATGAAAAAAATCAACAAAGAACAGGAACCTTCCGAGGAAAAGGAGGAACGGCTCGCGTCAATATGGCGCACACTGGTGCAGATAACGTTGGTTCAACCGAAAAACCGAAGTCGCAGGACTCGAGTAATGAGCAATGGCGAGATCTTGACAACGAATGTTGAATTCTCGCAAGGGAAATGAAGCTGAAAAGATGACTGGTAAGAAAGCATGTGACTTGTGGATTATTGATAGTGGCGCCTCTAATCATATGACAGGAACACTAGAAAACTTGAGGGAGAGTCGAGCCTTGGAAGGGTGCCCAGTGGGACTACCAAATGGTGAATTGGTGCTGGCAAACAAAGAAGGATCGGTTTTCCTTGATGGAGGACTGAAACTTAAACATGTTCTATATGTTCCGAAATTGAATTGCAATTTGATTTCAGTATCACAATTGACAAATGAAGTAAAATGTACAGTACATTTTACTAATAGATTTTGTGCAATGCAGGACCACACTTCGAGGATGCTGATTGGTGCGGGTGAACGAAAAGAGGGACTCTATTGGTATCGTAGTGTGAGTGGCATAAAGGCGTATCAGACCAATGCAGAAAATCAACTAGAGATTTGGCACAAGCGAATGGGACATCCTGCCTACCAGATTGTTAGAAAAATTCCGCATCTGAACAGCGTGAATAGAAATACGGATACAACTCGTGTGTGTGAAGTGTGTGAGAGATCAAAGCAATGCAGAAACACATTTCCTTTAAGTGATTTTCAAGCAT